AATAAAATCAAGACGGCGACATGCGCTGAGTGCACCCTCTTAGTACCTGCAACTGCCACATCACTCGCAAACTGCAATCACTTCAGCGAAAAGAAGTTCAAAATAAGGAATTCTTGAGGAATTACAGTAACCGCAACCCTATCTAGTAAAAATATCATATAACCCTAATCTTCTATTTTCCAATTTCGATACCTAACTCCGAAAATTGAAAACATGTTGAAAACAAGTGTACTTCCTGACCAGATCAACCAAATATAAGTTAATTTGATGCAGATGCTTTTAACACAATAAACATTCAAAACAATCGACACTTAGTCTGATCTTGATAACCAACAGCAAAGTGCACTAGCAAACTTTTATCTTCAAGAGAAAGTTCAGATATTGTACAAAACAGATCACATACGATATACAGTTCATACAATATATATAAATTTATCTGAACAATTATGCATTTCACGCCTCAAACAGAAGCACGATAAACGACATAGGGATTTCGAACATCATAAAACATACCCAGATAAAGGACCCAATTTCTCATAGGTGTGAGTAGAAGAACATAAGCAGACTGAGAAGTCTCAAAATCGTGACTTAGAAAATCTTTCTATAGCGAAATTAAATCATACCCCTATCAGATACGTTAGTAGGTGTTACTTAAAAAAAGGAAACATCTGAGGTTCAACAATAAACTGCTAGCACGACTATGAAAATTAGAAAAACTAGCAAAAAGGTTCTCCACTATCATTTGCGCACTTGCCTACGAAACTGTTATTCCAAAACAATACAAACTTCCAAACCTCACATGATTCCACTGCAAACAATAATGGCCTAATCGCTTTTAGTTTTTGCCTTGAAAGAACTCAAGAATATCCCAGAAGAATACATGATGAAAGCCGTGACACTTAGCAAGACAAGCCAAACCACTAGAACAAGCATGAGCAAACTGACCATTTGTCCAAGTGAAGTATTCGAACTCGAAAAGCGAGCCGCTAACGATGATGAAGATGGTTCGCTATCAGCTAACTCGCATGTAACAGTTTCACCCTTCAATTATAACAAAATTGAAGCTACCATATAGAATTTGACTCTATACAATTTTCAGGAGCATTCACCATTTTGAGATTGACAGTTCAATTTCATAAATTCTTCACTTTTACTTCTCAAAAACTATGTCATTGGTGGCATGCTTTTGAAAATTAATTTCAAACATAATGATTGTGTACAGAGCAGAATTGACAACAATCGATGTTGTAGACTGTGAAACTAAACATATAGGCAGTTGCTCCTTTAACAACACTCTTGACTCTGATATCAAACAACGACGAAAATGAATAGCAATACACCAAAATCCCGATTGAAAACGTCATTGAGCGTAAGTAGATTTTTTTTGAAAAAAAAATAAATGACACTGAATTATGATAACTGAATGAATAAATTTGTAAAACATATGAGTGCAAATGGCAAAATGGAAAAAAAAAC